AAATTAAAAATTTCTTCTTTTCTTCTCCAAAACTGCTTCATATTAAATATTAAATATTTAACTGTGAAGTATATGACCTCTGTATTGATCAATTTAATTATTAGCAGCATAAAATCTAAAAAAAATTAAAAACTCAACTAAATTTATCTGTAACTTGAATTTAAAAATAAAAAAGTCAATACTGAAATGAACAGACGCTAAATAAAAGGGTTACTTACCTCGTTCGGGGAGCTTCACAGCCCAAGTCTATCAATTTGAGGGTTTAATGTCGGAATGGCTAAGAACTGTAAATTATGGTGGATGGCGGATAGCGGGTTGAAGATTTATACGTAAGAAAGGCTGTATATGTATGTGCTCATGTGGTGTCAGACTTTAACCTTATACGAGCGGCAACCACCCTCTACCCGCGGGGGTGCAACCCTCTGGCGAACCGCAAACACACCTCCCCTATCAACTTACAGTTAGTATATAGCGAATAGCGTTAACCGCGACCTCTCCAAGGACCACTGGAGGGCAACAAAATCCACCCGGGAATTCGTTTTAAAGCTTATAAATATGACGGACGATCTTGTATTTTTCATGTCTCGTGCAGTTTAATATACCTTTCTACGATTTACGTGACAAATTCAATATATGGCTGTCGGAATGGTTTAATATTAAAGTTATGAATATGTCAAGCATATTGTTTTTTAATTTTATGAGGATCAACTTCATTCTTTATTCTGAACCTCTCATATTTGACCGTACAATTTTTATTCACGTTATTCGAAGATATAAAAATTTTCTCTTTAAAATTGTACATTTAATTAAATTTTTTTTACAAAAATTTATGTAAATTTTTAAATTAATTTTTCAGTGAATCATTAAATAATTATAATAAATAATAAACAAAGAACAAAAAGCCAGTAGTTTATAAATTTAATAGCAAATTGTTTTATCTGCATTTGAGCACTACTTGCACCTGCTGCACGAAATATACCAGTGAAATATTAGCAGTGTCGAAGCGTCTTACGTTTAGGGGAGAGTCATAAAAGTAAAGCCGATTTTTCCTTACTCGGTACCAGCAAAATGCGACTACAGAAAATGCTAAGCATTATGAATAGGTAAAAAGAAATAAAAAATTCAGAGTATAAGACTCTGGCGTGCTTGCAATTGGTTATATCTTGAATTACATTATTACAGTACAAGAATTGAATTATACTGCATGAATTACGCCGTTAACATTTAGCATTTTTTGTTAAAAGTTAACAAAAACACTCTGAATTCATCTGGAATACTAACGCGTTTTTCCATACCAAGGGATTTAAATTTTTTGTCGTAAAACTGTGTGTCGGACGTAGAAGCTGAATAGACGGTTCAATAAACGATTAGGTTATCATAGAATAAGAACTCGGTGAAAAAAGAGTAGTACAGAGGGATATAATAGTGTGAGTATCGTTGGTAACAAGTATAACAAGATTATCCTACTGGGTACGCATAAAATGCCGGATAAAAGTATGCAACGATGCTTAGTTCACCCAGCTTTGCGAAAAGGGGAAAAAGAACTGGATACTGCTGTATGCTAAGCCATACGAGCAGCGGGTGAAGGAAATAAGAGACAACGAAAATATGTATTAAATAAAAAAAGGTATTGCAATGTGGATAACGCGTGTTCTAGTTTAAGAAGCCTTAAATGTTAATTTTTAAAGCATCTGTCTAACGAATATTGATCCTGTTACATACTTTTTATGCGACATATTATTTATATCCAAACAAGGACGTTGTTGCTTAATAATAAGACCTCTACAAGTACAATAAATGATAACAAGATATTGTCAGCCGATAATGATATTAAATCCAAATATTTATCTGAATCTCTCACGCAGCTAATTTTCGTTTACCGGAAATAATCGTTAACTGATTGCCTTGTTATTTCCACTATCAAACAGTGTGTGTGTGTGTGTTTACCGCGTAGAGCAACTTAATTTCGGTATTACTGAATAACAATGCCAATATAAACTGAAAACAACACAGCTAGGTCGATTCTTCCTTCCTTCCTTCCTTCCTTCCTTTTATCCTTGTTCACTATTTTGCATCTCCAAAACCATCCACCTATACCTCGATTAATATCGCTGGATATCGAATAGCCAAATTCATATTACACTTTACTGTTCTATGAGCTACACAGAAAAAAATTTACTTGAATCAAGTAAATGATTTTGAAGAACTTCATCTTCACGAAAAAAAGTAAACTGTAAAATTCACTCGGATTTTGGTTAATTTTTATAGTTTCAAACAGACATCGGGGTGGCACAAAAGTAAATGTTACAAGACTTAATGTATAAAGTGTAAAAGCCACAATTTATAATTTAATATCGAAAATGTGATTAGTAGCTGTCACTATAGTAAATAACGACTCTCTCATCTTAAAAAATTACAGTTTCAAACAGTAAAAATTGCCGTTTCAATACATAGTCTATACTATAAGTAAAAGGGGAGAGTCTCACACTCGGAGAATTTAACATTTGAAACAGTAAAAATTCTACTCTTAAAATATATATTTTACCAGTCCAAGCAAATCAATAATTATAGTTTGATTTTTAGCGTTGCGTTTAAAATTTACCATTTTACTTTGTAAATATTGACGTTGTTTGTATAGAAATTTAGTAACTGTAGTTTATATTTTTTACATATCAAGCGATCATATTTTAGGTACGAAATGATAATTATCAAATTCAAAATTCACGAATGTTTACATAATTATAATTAATCTCATAATTGTAACATAATATATTTTCATCCCCAGAATAATATATACCAAAGTAGATGTACTTGTAATTAATATTTTTACTTAAAATATATTAATGGACCTGAAAATAAATAAAATAAAGTAATTAATAAAAGTAATAAATAAAAGCGCCAGCGTGATCTAAATCAAGCCTTTGCAAGCTATTGGCCAAATCATCTTTATCTTTTTGTTGTCATAAAGTTAATTTTTTTTTTGCACTGAAAAAAAAATTAACTTGATTCAAAAGAAAAATTCTTGAACTAAGAATATAATTTTTAAGAGGGTAATTGTCTTGAATCAAGACAAAAATTTCTTGAATTAAGTAAAATTTCCTTAAATCAAGAATTTTTCTACTAAAATCAAGAATATTGAGCTCTTCAAAAATATATACTTGATCTAAGAACATTTTTTTCTGTGTGTGTGTATGATATAATATCTAACAAAAAATAAAAAATTTACAGTTGACAGCTAACTGATGGCTTATTAAATATGATTTATAATTATTAATAAAACATGCCGCGACTATACATCACATTAAGTGTAATATAATATAAGTTTACTTTCCTGCATCATCATAAACTCTAATTCACATTTCAGCGTTGCCTCTGGCTTCTGGTTGAAATATTTGAGTTGCGAGTTACGATCTGTAAATAAGAAAGGAAGTTAATATCTGATGATAATAAGAAATTATTATTTTTATTACTCTGTCGTTTACTAAAAAATAAATTCACTCTTACCTTGCTAACGGCAATAAAATCACTCACTTACTTTTATGTTTCTTCGATCAATAATTCAGTTGAACATAAATGTTGATACTAATTTTTGTCTGTTAGTTTAGAACACACATCTTTGAGCCACTAAGTAAAACACTTTAGTTTATGTTTGAAGTAGTTATTAGTTATAATTATAATTAGTTGTTTTCTCAGACTAAAATATAAGCGAATCATAAAGATTTATTTCCCAGAAACTTATAAATGGGAAAGAGAGTGGAAACGTGATATCAGCTCTCGAGTTGACTGCAGACTGGCGGAAAAGAAAATTAACGAGAAGGCGCAAGAAAAATTTTTATGTTCCCAGGGCACGTTGTAATTACTACGACAGAGCGAGAGCAAGAGTACGAGCTTTATCGCTGTCTCGAAACTTTTCTCTCAACTTTTAAAGTGACGTTAATGTGTTTACAGTGTTAGATTTTTATACTGGCACTTTTGTAATCTCTTTAGCCGACCTTATTCACTTTGTTATACGACAACAACAAACAACAACAAAGAACCATCAATTGTTTAGTCAAACTACACGTGAACTAGAAATGTAGCTCAATTTTCTTAATGTACAGGTACCTTGAGGTTAATATCTTCTTCCTCTGACAGGAAGGCGGTAAAGACTAAGTGTAATTACGGTAAATTTACCGAACCATACACTTTAAGTTGTAATGAAGAAATATGCAAATTTAAATAATAAATTTTACATAAGTAGTTTTGTAAAAAAATATATTCGACGGTAGAATAAATGAATTTGTTGTTTTTTTGTCAACTTAAAATTTTTAAACAAATCATGAAACTAATTTCATAAGAATAAAATTTATGGTAATTATTTACAAGTGAGGTCCACCCTATTTTTGGCCATATCTAAGTAAAAAATTAACATTTTTTAATTTTTTTTTATTCTGCTTGTTTTTAAGGTGCATTTATGATAAAAAATTGAAAATTTCGATAGCTTTTTTGCCTTTAAAAGTTGAAAAAAATTTTGGCTCATGTTTTTGGATAAAATTTATATTTTTTTTTTTTTTTTTTTTTAAATACAATAGTAAAAAAAGAATTAAAAAAAAAGTTTAATATCACAAATACATAGAAAAAGAACAATTAAAAAAAAAGTTTAATATCACAATTTTCTAAGAAATTTATAAATTTTTTTTAAATTTGTAAAAATTGTGAAGATCAACTTTTTTTTAATTGTTAATTTTTTTATGTATTTTTCAAAAAAAAAAGTATCCAAATTTAAAAAACAAAATTTTGTTCAAAAAAATGAAAATTAAAACAATGAAACCCACTTGTAAATAATTACCAAATTTATTTTAGAAAATTTTTCTCCACTATAGTTCAAAGGATATAAAATATTAAAATAAAAAAAATTCTTCAAGTATGCTTGTAAGGAAGAATAAATTTTTTCTAAAAATAATATAATTTCATGAGACAGCTATTGAGTTATAAAAAGAGGAAAGAACAAGTATAAATATATGCAGAGCAAGTTAATAATTTTAAACGATAAAAGTGTATGTCAGTGTATAAAATCTAATTTGACAGCGTCTTTGGCCTCCTTCGGCCATTACTCTAAACGCCATTTTGAAATAGTTTTAAAAGCTCATCCACCCGGGTTACTATAGTACGCTAGTAAAGAAATCGATATGGATAACTGAACAAAATAAAAAATTTACGCGCTTAGCTAGATAATCAATAGATTGGAACCTTACTTATGCAACATCGATTCCTTGCCAATTATTTTATTCTATAATTATATTCTTCTGATATGATAACGACATTTTCGAATAAAATATCAGAGCTTAATTAGTTGTCCTAATTACCCTGCTTGCTGCTCATTGCTCATTACTCATTGTCATTTTCAAGCCTATTTAAATATTTACTAATTATTGTATTTTTTGTACTTACAGAAAACGGGCTTTTGTCATTTGAAAATCCAAACTACCATCTGGAATCAGCTCGCTTCGATGACGCATTGAACAGTAATGGTACGGAAAATTCACTCTTCGATGAATTCTATCAAGATTTAGTGGTGAGTGGAGCCAGAAGAGAAGAAATGGTCACCGGGATCGTAAACGGTGGCGGAGGTGGAGACGGTGGTGGCGGTGGTACAAGACACGCACGAAGAACTTATGCCACACTTGATCTTGAAAGCATGGGCGTCGACGTAACCCAAGGTCCTTTAACTCAAAATTCAGTCACCGCTGAAACACCAGACAATACCGCCAACCACAATCTTGGGTAAGTTTTAATTAAACTCATATTTAAGGATGAAGAAACACGTTTTCATTGTCATTAAATTACCTTGTTCACATTCACAAACAACTGGGGCCTTCATTGTCGGAACAAACATCATTAAATCTAAAAAAAGAAAGATATTTTTCTTTTGTTTTACTAAAATCAGCATCATCTGACCTTCGTTGGTTTTAATTAAAAAAATCTACTGCTAAAAATATATTTAAAAAATTTTTTTCCTGTTACAAAGATTATCAACTAATTGTCCGCTAAATGGATAAAGTATTGTTGGTACTATCTATAAAATGTTAGATAAACTCGAATTTAAAAGGGTCTTTATTATTATCTGTAGTCGATTAGAATAATTCGTGAAATTCTTTAGGTATCCTTACCAGTGTCACTGCAAGCACGCTTCCGAGGTATAAATTACAGAGGATATCATGAAGGCACGTAGACATTCTATTCCGACTGGCGATAGCACATTGTCGTCGAGTGACGGATGGCAAGAATCCGAGCATAAAAATCCAATTAAGGAAATGCTTGTCGGTTTATCGTCTGATAGCCGTATCTGCCAGAGAAAACAACTAAAACCTTAAAATAAAGAAGAAAAAGTTTATGAATCAAATGTCTGAAGAGTTCTAGTTGATTTTAACTTACCTGCCAATTTTAGGATCTGGTATTGAGTATAATTTTGAGATTGGAATTTCTTGCTTCATATATCGTTGTTTTCTGGAAAGATATTACATATTAGATCCATATAGGGGCAAACATATCTTAATTCATAGAAGAAACAAAACGAAATTGGCGAAAAACAAGCTGTAAATAACTTTAACTGTATAACCAATAAAATTTATGACCGAGTAAAACTATAAAAGTTTAATACTTCCGAGACATAATATATAATCCTCATACACATACGCACCGAAGTAACTGCTATGTCTAATCGTCAAAGGGCAATTTTATTTCCTTGGGACACGTCGTTTACGAGAAAAACTTCATGTCATAGATGTAAGCTTTACTTAATTTCTCGTTCCTTGCTTTCTTGAACACTAGCTCGGTCATCTTTCTCGGTCGTTAAACTGGACGCCGCTATAAGACACAAATACGCGTTGCAATTACGAGAAAAGTTCATTAAGATTAAAGATTAGGCCAACAAAGATTTTATCTTGAACCACTAATTCGGTTTATTGATTATAAAATTAATTAAGCTTTCATTAAATTTTTTTTAGGGAAAAAAAAATCATTATCATATGATACTGAAATTAGCAGACATCTAATAATTTTTTAATTTTTTAGAAGAAATCAATTAATATAAAAAAAAATAGTTTGAAAAATTTGCACTCATAATTTTTTTAATGGAATTTCTTGCAAATTTTTTATTATTGTAATTTAATTGTCATGAAACTCTAAAAAATTTTTAAATGTCTTTGAAATTCAGTATCATTATCATTATCAGTTAATTTTACTAGATATTCAGAAAAAATAGACCCGGAAAAATTTTTAAAGTTATGAAAAATTCATATTATTTCATTAAAATTTTTATAAAATAAAAATTATAATAATAATAATTGGATTACACCCACAATTTTCTTAAAAAACAAGCACCTCCAGAATGATTGCTTCATTTTTTGTTACAAAAAAAATATTATTATTATAATTTTTAATAAATTATTTCCGAGATTTATTTTGCCAAAAGGACGAATTGATAGTTCTTATTTTTTTTTCTTGGGTATTAGTTTCATTATTGCGTTGAAATTTTTACTGGCAACAAACTTACGCCCATAGAGCTCGAAAATAATTCACGTATATTATTGCGCGCTGGGATTTGCAACATCCCATTACCGGGAGTAAATGACCTAGGTGATATATGCATTTATTTACTGGGTTTCGTTATTGCTGGTGTGAAAGTTTATGATATCGCTCTTTTACAGATAATTATTTTTGCGTAAAAACTGTTGACCTATAAAACTTTTTAGTCAACCAGATATTTTTATATTAGTTTAGAGTCAATAATTAAATTGTATTAATTAATTCATTTTCATTAATCAAACCAACTAAATAAAATAAACGAAGTTTTTATCGATAAAATTATTTTTCCAGCCATAACACGTGAAGAGGCACTTTCTGGGATCTATTTTATTTCAGCCCCTGACGAAAATCTTGACAAAGACGTAATCCACAGAGCATTGAAAACAACGAGGGTCTAACATTTATGCGCACTGGGGAATACATGTAGCCTTTCTCGTGTGTATTACCGTCGTCAAAGTGCTTGAATTTTGCTCAAGTCTATGTACTCATTCCTCTGGCTCCTCTGTACATACATACTTATACACCAGAAAAGAAAACCTACGTGTTAACAAACAATGAGGCCACATGTGTGCTATTGCCGCCGGTACCACTGTACCAACATCTATCGGCCAAATTTCTTCCAGGAATACAAATGTCAGTTCAACTTTTTATTTTCCAAGTCACCCTCGGAGAAAATTGAAAATTTTTAAGAGTACGCGAGTTATCTTCAATACTTTGAATTTTAAAATCAAATTTTCATTCAATGTCAACCGTTTATTTTCAAACACTCCGAAGCTATTCAGAATACCGGAAAGCAGTGAAAATTTTTGCGCTGCCCGTAGTACACCAGATTTTTTTTCCTGTCCGTGTATTTTTTTTTCCTATATAACCTTCCTTTGTTTGTTTGGAATACAAATATCTAGAGTTTCTTCTTCCTGAATAACCACCTCGATTATGGCTGTTCCAATACTGAAAGTCCCAGTATCGTTCGCCATAAACGTGATAAGCATATATATTGTCATACGAAAAATTCTTAAATTATTCGGTTCCTTATTCAGATCAATATTGGAATATATTTCATAAAAATATATTTTTTTTGCTGCAAATTTATCACCCTCGACAATCTTACAGCAAAGACCAATATCTAAAATTAATATATACAATTCAAATTTAGGTATTCATAAGAACCATTCTATCAATTATTCTCAACCAAGTTTAATAATTACAACCAATATGTTTTGGACAAAAGCTAAGTCAAAAATAGTGTATATATTGAGTAATAATATTAATCTATTATTGTTGACAATACTTGTCATATTTTTAAATAACAATTATTAATTCGTTAAGCCTTAGCTTCATGGACATGTGTACGGAAAAAAGAAAACTCAAAAAATTATAAATAGTAATAATTGTACCGTCGTATTTAAAACTAGAAAAATTACAGTTTGAAATAAAATTTTTCTAAATTCAAACTTTGAATGTTAATTTTCAGAGCTTTCAATGGAAAAATTACATTCTACAATGTAATTCTTATAAAATCTGAAACTGTAATTTTTTTAGTTTTCATTACAAAGTGCCACGGTACAATTACATATTGTAATTTTTCGAGTTCTTTTTTCCGTATGGATAAAATTTAATTTACTGATCAACGTATTCTATGCGGCTGTAATAGAGCGCAGTTTTATTTGGACTTTGATGTCTATATAAATTCACTCAAAAACGCCTAATGATGTTGAGACTGTCAAAAAAACGTTGCGGATTTTGATATAATTTAGACGGTAATGGGAAAAAATTTTAAAGTTATGAAAAATTCACATTAATTCATTAAAATTATTATAAAATAAAAATTATAATAATAATAATAATAATAATAATAATAATAATAATAATAATAATAATAATAATAATTGTATCACACCCACAATTTTTCTGAAAAACAAGCACCCTCAGAATGGTCGCTTCATTTTTTGTTATAAAAAAAATTTTATTATTATAATTTTTATTTTATAATAATTTTAATGATATAATATGAATATTTCATAAGTTTAAAATTTTTTCGGGTCTATTTTTTCTGGGATTCAATTTAGATATCAAATAAGGTAAAAAAAAACCCTGTTATTGACACCGGCCTAATTGTTTGACACTTGCAATTTTATTTTAATTAAAAATTAATTAAAATAAGCTGAGATCTAAATATTACCTTCATTTAATAATTATCTTTTTTATTAATTGTTTCTTCTTTGTATGATTCTTCAATGTATATCATTTTATAGTCTTCATTATTATATTTAAAAATTTTAACCTAAAAAAAAAAAATGTCAATTTACAACCGATAAATATATGCATAGAATTTTTTCATGATAGAACAACTTAACCTATACTTATGCATATTGTAAATAAAAATAATTTAAACATTAAATTTCTATTTAAATTAAAAAGTGATCAAGTGCTTATTAATTTTAGCGTCATATTTGCTTCACCCATTTGCAAGTAGCATGAAAATGTCAAACGGCGTCAATTATCGCTCAAGTACTCTCGATGCTCTTTTACAATCATAATTTGTTTTCTACATTTATAAAATTAATATCAGCAATAAAGTAACGATTACAAACATTTTACTTGAGTGTGTACATGAAGATGATGCGACTATTTACGTACTTATACATGTAAAGACACTGGAGGATTTCCAGTAGTTGAAATATGTGATATGGTGCGGCATGATGACGTCATCAGGTGTAACGAATCCACCCGAACAAAACCGAGTTGAACCGAAAGCTCGATATTCTCCGTCAAATACTTTAGTCTTTCTCCGGCTGTCGAGCAGTCGTTGTTACCGATATTTATATGTAATTAGCTGTATACATATATAGATAAAAAATTCATGGAAATTTTTCCGTGATAGATTGACATATATTTTTTTTAATCATTGTGGATTTGTACAAAAATATAAGGGTAGTAATATAATGAACAACAATCAAAGTTTAGTGCAAGTTGAATTAATGCCGCGGATTTCGATAGTTGCTAATAATTCAAGTGCCGGTAGCTGACTGTGAGTTTTATTTATTTTTATAATAATAATAAAATGTCATCCTTAAATTATATACATATATATTTATATATTCATGATCAATAAATAGGTTCCGCTTACAAGTCATCGGGTTAAGGAAGAAATGTAACCCTTGAAATTGTATAATCAGTTTCTTTTTATTAATTAGCTATCAATTGTTTTAATTATTTTTATTATTATTCAATCGTTACAATTAATCAATTATTTATTCAAAAAATTTTTATTGCTGAAGAAATAAAAATTAAAATAACACCGCAGGTTGTCAAGAAGCAATATTAATAAAAAAGTATCACCGTGATACTTAAAACTGTTTTATCCAGTAATAAATATACAATGAGTCAACAAACATTTTTTGTGTCACCATTCGTTAAAAGAAACTCCCCATTTCTTCTCTTGTCGGGTGACTCATTACCTAAATACGGAAAGTTTACTGACATCTTACACTTTTTTTATTCTCTTTAAATAAATTATCGTGAAGAAATGTTAAATTATATTGAAAAATTTTTTACAATAATTTATCAGGTGTATTTTAGTATTAACTATATTTGCATTTCTTCTTTATAGATTTTTTATATAAATATTTCTCATAAAATTTTATTCTTCTTGCGTCCCTCGCATTTATTATATAAATAATATAATATTTTCTAATCGACATAACTTTCAACCTTTTGCCGTTATTTCTTCTTTCTTATTCGCATTTTTTTTTATTCAATAGAAATTTCTTGATACATTATCATAAATCAGAAGAAATAAGAGATATCTTGTTGAAATAATCTTTTTATTACAATCTTAAGAAGTTTTAACTTTGAATTAATATAACTAATTAGACAAAGATAAAAAGAACTTTTGCAAGTTTATATCTTTACTTTTAATGAATTATAAAATATTTTATAAATTAATAAAATAATTAAGTAACTTTTTTCTTTCTAAAATTTTTTATATAAATACAAATAAAAATTAAACTAATAAAGATAAAATAAAAATAAAATTTTTGTAAATGTATAAAAGAAATGTATAAAAAAATTATTTACTCAAAAATTTTTAATATTTTATATTTTTAAAAAGTTTTCATACAATTACAAATAAAAACTAAACTATTACAAGTAAAAAAAAAAATTTTTTTTGTAAAGAAGAAATGTATAAAAAAATTATTTATTTAAAAATTTTATATTTTTACAAAGTTTTAACTTGATTTAAATTATTAATCAATAAATTACAAGGTTTAATAAATAACATTAGTAAATTTCTTAGAAAATAACGAGTACTTTTGGTATACAGTTAGTAAACAGTACAATTATAAATAAAGTCCCCGAAGACATATATCCATCCATTGGAGGCGACTCTGACGAGTGTCGGGAGTTGGTTGGATCGAAGGGTGGCAAATCAGCATAAACTTAATTACCCTTTGGCTGTAAGCGCGTTGTGAAAGACGAGTAGTCTGTAAAGTCAGGAGTAGTCTCTCTGTTTCCTTGTTTATCACTCTGTCACTATCATCCAAGTTTCATCCTTGGCAAAGTACAAGATAGTAGAAGCAGAAGTAGAAGTAGAAGGAGGAATGTAAGAGCTTGTGAGTAAGTTAGGGCGAAGAGATCTACAGAACGTACATATGTATTATATGTATGTATAATATTATAATAAGAGCGAACTAGTATACCGAGAAGAGTAAGACTGTTGCCGTGGGGGCCACTGGGGCCGCAGGGCAACTCCGAAATACATAGAGGGGTTTACTGTTATAAAAGTGGGGTTGCGCCGGTGCCGCGTGTATTGATCGAACGAGCGTCGTCCCGACTACGCCAATACAACCAAGACCATTACCGACGCCCACGCTTTCGACGACTTGCTATTTTATACATATAAAGTATAGATGGAATAATCAAAATAATAATAATAAATATTATGGAAATTTAAGAATAATTTATTTAGTTCAATAAAAGTGAGAAGAAATAATATTTTTATAATTTAAAATGAAAATTTTATCGAGGAAAATATTAAAATGCTCTAGCTGGGAATCGAACTCGGGAACTTGCGGTAGAATGTCTGAAAATTTTTCGCGCACTAGCTGGATTTTTTATTAATTTGTAATGTATAAAAAATTTTGATGAATTGATAAAAATTGAGAGTATTAATAAAAAATAAAATTGTTTATTTAAAAAAAAAATTCAGTTTTTTAAATTTTACTGTCTAATAAATTGAATTAAAAAAAAAAAATTAATTAAACTTTTCTTCGACAGTAATTATATTTTTAATTATAATAAAAAAATTTAAAGGAGAATAAAAGCTCGCTTTTAGAACGAAAAAAATTAATTAATTACACTTTATATAATTCAAAAGAATATTTAAGTTTATTATTCTGAATTGTGAGGCTGTTTTTGAATGCAAAGCAATTTTTTCTATTCAAATTATAAATTATAAAACTGTACCATTACACTTGAAATGACCGCCGGTATTTTATACAGAATGCGGAAAAATTTTTCAGAGAGAAGAAATGTTTTTTAAATAGTTTCACGGCTTAATTAAAAAATTTTATAACATTATATTGAAAGTTTTAAGTAAAACACCGACACGTGTTACAATTCCAGCTGATAGAGGGGTAATTTAGTCCCTGCGCTGACCTCGTATTCAAAAACATTTAAAGCAACTATCGAAACATGAATATTGAAGTACAGTACATTATATAATATAGAATAGTAGATTTAAAATATTTTTCAAGAGATTTGAAAAATTCAATAACTTGGTACAAAGAATAATATTTAATATCTTGGATTATAATAAATAATAATAATCCAATGAGTATGTTATATTTTTATGAATAACATTATCGTGGATATATAAAGTTCAAGGATGGATTGACAAACGACGGTAACTGTTGAAGGTTTCGAGTACATATTTCATATTTTATTGTTCGTTTGATACTTAGCATACCTTCCAAGAAGGTAAACAAAATTATATTATACCAATAAAAAATTTTGCATTATATAAATTTATAAAAATGATGAATTGAAAATTTTTATTAAGTAATTAAAATTATAAACATAAATTTATTTTTAATATTATATTCTTCTTTTCTAATGTAATTTTTTTGTTTATTCATACTTATAATAACAATAACTAGCAACCTTGCAGTCATTATGTGACTTCCGTGACTTGTGAACTACAAATAAAATTTTGCTTTATTAAATAATGACTTTTGTCAAATTGCACTGTACTTTCTTAAATATTGACGTTTTTAAAGATATAAGCTCATCCCGATGTTACAATCATCAAGAGCTTTCATTTGAGTACCCACATGCATTTATGATATATTTTTCATATATACATATATATATAATATATATTTTAAAGATATAAGCTCATCCCGATGTTACAATCATCAAGAGCTTTCATTTGAGTATCCACATGCATTTATGATATATTTTTCATATATACATATATGTAATATATATAAATATATGAAATATATGAAAAATTGATGTGGGTACTCAAATGAAAGGTCTCGATGAGTGTAATGTCGGGATGAGCTTATATCATTAAAAATGTCAATAGTTCACAAGATACAAGATCATTTCTTATTAATTATGTGTAGAGGATTTTTGAATCACTAAAAAAACCGATTTTATCATATGAATATCCTGGATACAGTTTTTTTTTTATTCTCTTAATAATAATAATAATAATTCAAAAAAATTTATAAAAATGATGAATTTAAAATTAATATCCAAAAAATAAAAATTTATTAAATAATTAAAATTATTCAACAAATTAATTTTGAACAATATATACTTCTTTTCTGAATGTAATTTTTTTCACACAATTATAATTATAATAATAAATTACAAAAAAAAAAGTTAAATTTGTTGTCGGCATTGGAGGAAAAAGCGAGTGCTGTTAATCCTCAGAGCATTGGTTAGCGAGTGTGTACTAAGTTGCGCGTACTGCAAGCTATAACTGGTGTTGGCTTGGTTTTACCACCGTTAATTAAACTGGTACATTTATCTGTAAGCACTTTATCCCGGCTGAACGCGTTTACATATCTAAAAGATTCAAGTGCCAAGGAGACGGCATATGCAAACACTTTTTAATTTTAATTCACTCGGGTTCTGCTCAACTTGAACTATTTTTATTTTTATTTTTTTTTCTTCTCAATAAAGAAGAACTATTAGAACTATTGAAAGTTATACAAATATATATATATATATATATAACAAAAATTATATATAAACGTGATTCAGGTATGGCAGCGAGGGTGCGGAGGTAGCTGAGTCGACGCTGGTTGATGATAACCTCAACGGGAATCCTCGATCATCATCTAAGGCCCTGTCAAATCCATCCGCGACCCTCGATGCCGGTGATTCTGACCTCGTCAGAAAGTACGTACTTATTAATAAAAATCGTACTGACAGTAAAGTCCCAATTTTATATTTATATAATTACACATAGAAAAAAAAATTAATTTGAATTAAGAAAATAATTTCAAAGAAATTTATCATCTTAATTTAAATTATTTTTTTTTTTTCAATGTAATGCTTATTATTGTAAATATTTATTTATTTATTTATTTGCAATGTATCGATGTATTGGTCGCTGTAGTATCATGTGAATAATTGGTTATTTTTTAATTAAAGTAATTATACTTTTATGTAATTAAATTTTTAAGATTATTGTTGCTTAATATTGATTTGTTTTTATTCTTGATTAAAGGTGAAAATATTAATAATTTATTATTATTGATTAATGTGTCTGAAAATTATAAGTTCAAAGTATCAGATTCAATTGATCATTATTATTATTTTTAAATAAAAGATGATGTTAATAATATATACAATCGAATTTGTAAATGTGAGTTTAATTATGTATGAATAATTGCAATATTAATGGCAAGGGATGAATAAATGTCGACAGTGTGAAATCGAATAGTAATTCATGTTTATATTGTTTTATTCATAATATATTACTGCGAGGAAGTAATATATTAATAATTAAATTTTGCAACCTTGCGCTAAATAACGATCTATTGAATCTGATACCTTAATTAAGTATATATAAAAAAAATCATTTGTATTTCTTCTTTTACGAAAGCTTATCATTAGTTAATATTTCATACAATCTGCGAAGATAATATTTTTTATTCGCTAAAATTGTGCTTTAATTAATTAATGTGTTTTTTAAATTACACAATTTATTTTATGTAATTAATATTTTGCATTAATATTAAATTTATCTTCCAGCTTTTCGAAGCAAATATCAATTAATATTTTTCAGTGTTTATTAAATATCTTCTATATATATATATATATTAATTTATTATCTTAGAATCGAAATTTAATTACACAGAAAAAAAAGAATTATTTGTCTCAAGTAAATCAATTTATTTGAGTCGTTTTTTTAAATATTTCTTTACACGTAAATATAACAGTTGACTCGAATTATTTTATTATTCGTCAAAAATATATCATGACGTCACTTGAACGTTGAAAACAAAACTTGAAAGTTTTGATTACAACTTAAGCTACAGCGACGTTTCAAAAAATATTTAATTATTAAACTAGAAGAATAGAAATAATTTTTTATAATTAATTTATTTGTTAAAAATTCCTCAAGTGACAGCTACCTTTAATGTTATAATAAATTTTAAATACTTTTCGATCAAATATTTCTTTTTTTCTGTGTACAATTAATATTATTTAAAAAAGAAGAAACAATTCAATATATTTAAAAAAAAAACTTCAAAATTCAGTTTTCAATTTATTTTTAAAATCTATTAAATTTAAATTTATATTAAATTAAAAAAAAAAAATTTATATTTAAAAACAAAAATTCTGAAGCTTTCATACCTTTATTAAGGTTTTAAAGAATCGAGAAAATAAACCCCCTTAGGGTTAGAATAACCGATTCACCTAAAGGTTAATACGATTTTATAGAATATAAAAGGTCTTTCAGATGGAAATAACAACCCCATAGAATGATATGACCCCTTAGAAAAAGAAAATATTTTTCCTTTATTTTTGTCCAACCAACCCGAAATTATTTATAAAAAAATTACAATAAAAATTTTTACCATCTAAACAACGATCAAGATCTGCATAAAACAATGTATAACCCGGGATTTACAACAGAATAGACATTGATGATCCATGTATGGACTTAACACTCAACTCACCTGTTGTACTACTTTTGTAGCTCGACCATTCTCTCTTTTCTCCGCTATCAATACTTGTCCTCTTGAATACCTATTCGTAATTCGCAACATACATATATAATACCTACAATGCTCGTTAGTTAGAAAAAACAGAAGAGCTCACTTGTATCCTACCCGCTTACTGGCCGATATATCTGAACAGCTCTTACTCTACGGACCACCAATTCTATTCAATTGGTCATTTAAATCGGCACGGTAAACGCCGATAACCCTGATAGTGATCAACCGCATACAGATTGTTTAGACTATCAAACACTTATGTAATCGTTACACAATCCTCCAGGTTTGATTATCGATTTACTCGTTAGATTTAACGATCTTAATATTCCCGGTTGTCTGACATGATTACTGTTAATGTTACTACCATTGATAACTGTGCAGTATATCTCGATTTCACTATCTTCTGATCGGGTTTCAACATTATCAGTTTATTATTTAATTTTCTTGAAAAGTATTCTATTAAATATTAACCTGCAACATTGCAGTCACTATGTGACTGCCGTAAACTATAAAAAATTGAAATTTTACTTTTTTAAATAATGACTTTTGTTAAATTGCGCTGTACTTTTTTGAATATTGACGTTTTTAAAGATATAAGCTCATCCTGATGTTACACTTGCAAACATGCTTGTAAATCTACATCTGTAGTACGTTTCTGTTCGTCAGAAACTGTACTTTCAGAAAATCAAGAGGATACAAAATGTGTATTTAGTATAGAAATAGTTATTTCACAAATAAGATGTTTATTTGTTGCCGTA